TGGCGGGGGGGGGGGGGGGGGGGCACAATTCATACCACAACACTCCCCTCTCAGCAGTTTCCCTCATTTTGAGCTGGTAACTGGAATCTCCAAAGTAAAAAAAAAATAAAAGAATATTTTTCAAGGTACAAAGGAACAGGGCAAATATCTCAACAAAGTGCAACAAATAGCCCTGATCAGTGTGACTACTCAGTTGGTTGGGCATCGTGGGTTGTCGGTTTGATTCTCGGTCCGGGTGGATTGCCGGCGACCAATTGGTGTTTTGCTCTCACATCAATGTTTCTCTCTTTCTCTCTCCCTTCCTCTCTCTCTAAAAATCAATAGAAGGTCTTTAAAAAAAAAGTTCAACAAATAGCCACTGTGGGAATAAACAAAGACCACCCAAATGAGAACAAGTGAAAGCTATTTTTTCAGAGCGTGCTGTAGTAAAGGAGTCAGCCACCACCATCTATATTTGGCAGCGACCTAGGCAGGCAGGGCAGTGGGAGAGGTTTTTAGAGGGAAAGGGCTAGGCCGCAGGTCTTCAGGGGGCCCCTGACTGGAGGCTGCTGGCATGGAGCGGCTGTGGGCGGGCACTCAGAGTCTCTCCCATCATGAGCTATGACACATCATGGCTCTCTTCTCCCATCACACATACCTGCCCAAGATGAGGTCAGGTGGTGGAGACCCTCCCTTAGGAGATGCGACTAGAGGTGATAAGGCCAGCTCACAGTAACACACGTCCTGTGCCTCATGGGCACTATATGATGGGTTAGCACAGCGGGTGCCAACTGGTGGTCTGTGAGGTCCGAAAGGTTGGCGACCGCTGGGTTAGAGGTACATATTTGGCTTTCTCAGTTGGTCCTAAGTTGGAAATGGGCACAGAAATTAAGTGAACTGAGGTTGTCCGTTATTAACCAAATCCTGGCAGTTTGGGCTGACTGCTGTGGAGGTTGTTGTTTGGCAACCTGGCCTGGTTGCTGCAGACAGTAGTTCGACTTCCTAGACAAGTTGCTGTGGGTGGTGACTGGCTTCCTGGACTGGTTGCTACAGATTGTGGGTCAAAGTTCTATTTTTAGATCTGGTCTGGCCCTTGTTCATTTGTATATTTAGGCTCCCACCATAGAATTAACTTGTTGGGTAGACCCGCCAGTTACTCGTTTCCACAAAGGACTTAATGTATAATTTTAAACTTACAGAAACAATAATTTAAGTTTTTTCCAACCTTGAAACCCCAACTTTTCCCTGGAGCCTCCTCCCTTGTCCTCAGAACTCTGTTGCTTCACTGTGGTTATTTGGACGGGCCGCGTTCCTGGGTCTCCTCTGATTCACAAATTCATCAAACATGTACTGATTTTTGCTGCATGCCCAGGCCCTGAGGGAAGGGATCAGAAGTTAAAGACACAGTCCCTGCCCTCAGAGAGATCAGTGAGAAAGACAAGCAGGCAGATGCAACAGTCCAAAGAGCTCAGTTGTCAAAGATGAACAAAGCTGGACACTGAATTGGTAAGGACAGATGTTAGTCAGTAACCTACTATTGCCATGGGAAGAGGGACCGGTGTGAACTGCACTCAGACTTTGATTTGTATAGAGAAAGACAGGGTGTTTTACAAGGACCGTGAAGGAGTGGGGTGGGGTGTGAGTGCGGGCTCAGTACAGGCAGGGAAGTGAGAAATTACAGAGCTGGCCAGTGTAAATGCTGAGTAGGCCAGTGGGTCTGCTAGTTGGCAATCCTTGAAGTTAGGATTCTGTCCTTCCACAGAGACTGGGAGACAGAGGCCCTATCTGGCCTGCTGACAGTTAAGGAATGGCTTTCAGGTCCTGAGTTATAGGATGGATGGAGGGATGGATGGATGGATGGATGGATGGATGGATGGATGGATGGATGGATGGATAGATAGATAGACAGACATCTCAAATGGACAGAGGAAGGATTCATTACTGTGAATACTTTTGAGTAATGCTGTAAGAAAGGATGGTCAGGGGCCCAATTGTCAGACATTGGTTAGAACAAACAGGAAATTCTTTTGGCAGCCGGAGCTGTCTCAAGCAGTTTAAGGGGTGCTGGGGTCAGCCTAGAGATATGGTCTTGAGTTGTTGGAAACCATGTTAAATATTTAACCCTTTTAATGTGGGGGGATGGGGTGGACGAAATCATTTGTGTTGAGAGTCTGTAGTTTTTATTGGCCAAAGTTGAAATCTAGTAGATAAGTGGGCTCAGAGGAGCCTGGCTAGAGTTTGCTCAAACACATTCTTTGTCACAATGCTGCCCTGGAGGTGTGTGTGCACATGTGTGTGCATGTGTGTGCATGTGTGTGTGTGTGTGTGTGTGTGTGTGTGTGTGTGTGTGTAGGGAGGAGCGGGTAGCTTGACTTAGATCAATCCCAGTAAACCAAATGAGTCCACTTAGGAGAGGGAAGAGGGAAGGGTAAGAGCAAGGGCAGGTCCAGGTTTATGGGGCCTAAAACACATACCATTAGAGGGCCTTCCTTTAAAAAAACACAACAAATTACAAACTTAGGTTGAGGGCCTCAGGGTTGGCGTGGCTGGGGCATGTACGTAAGGGGACCCAAAATGTAAGCTTCTCTTGGTTCATGGCAAACTGACCTCTTGGGAAGGTATGTTCTAGGCTGTGTGAACAGCAGGAAGGAGGGCATGGGGGATAGAGATGGCCTGGCATGCTTAGGGAACTGGAATAATTCAAAGCTGGGTTTCATTGCAGGATACGCAAGAGGTAAAGCTGAAGAAATGTTGAGGCTCTAGTAACAGAAGGATATCTCAGTCATCCTAAGACTATGGACTTTACTCTGTCCACTGTGAGGAGTCACTGTGGGATTTTAAGTCGAGGGGTGGCTCTATGACTTATCCACGTAATAGAAAGATCACGCTGGGAGGAAGTGTGAATGGGCTGGAGCCCAGGAAGGCTGGTTGGAGACACCAGGTAGGCCAGGGCACTCCTCAGTGAAGACCACTCATCAGTGAAGACCGTGGAATCACACCTATGAGCTCAAAACAGATGCCAGAGAGAGCTGTTCCTCATCAAAAACATTTCTAGATTGGTATTTATCTAAGTTTAAAAATATACTTACATTAATTTTGGTGGAAAAGAGGCCCAAGCTAGCGAATTCTTTTTGATTAATATTGCATGGTACAACGTTTCATTCTTTTTTTAAAAAAAATGTTTTTATTGATTTCAGGGAGAAGGAGAGAGGGATAGAAGCATCAATGATGAGAGAGAATCATTGACTGGCTGCCTCCTGCATGCCGCACACTGGGAATCGAACCGTGACCTTCTGGTTCATGAGTCGGTGCTCAACCACTGAGACACACTGGCCGGGCCAACATTTCATTCTTAATAGAAAATTCTATTTTTGGTTTATTTGTCCCTGGGTATCATGCACATAAAAAGGAATAGATTTTAAAATGATGATTTTTAAAGGCAGATAATTATGCCACACCTTAAAGTCCACTGTTCTATTTCTTCCCAGGACATTTTGATACCGAAATGTCTGCAGCATCACGAGCTTTGTGTCATACAGTCTGTCACTGTGTGGGGGGCAGCACTGACTACTACAGGCACCTTTTAAAATGAAAGTACATCTACCATTAGGCAGGTCCTGCTGCTTTACACCAGGAAGCTCTTAGACCCCTGGAAGGTGACACTTGGTTTTCCTTTTAAATTTGTTGACAAATCTTTGCTTTGCTAGAATTGATTCCATGCTGAGAACAAATCTGAGATCCCCCATGTGGGAAGCATAGCTGTCGAGGTATATAACCGTCTTTCTTTCCTGTCTCAAAGAAAAGAGCGATTGTTTAGACTCGTTCCGCCATCCTCTTGGGCAGATGAAGGAAAAGCGATTCACAGGATACCTAAATGTTCTCGTGACAGAGGCAGGGCATCCACACAGTTCAAGCCCACGGAGTCTCAATCTTCACGTCGCCCCGCCTGGAGGAGATCTCAGACATCGCTGGTGCTCTGACTCTGCTTTTTAAAGCAGCAACTTGAATCTTCTGTGGGGTCAATAGATGAGAGACGAGAGCCCAGCCCTCGTTGCAGAGAGGGGCCTCGTGCTCACCCCTCCGCACAGCGCCTCAGAGAGCTCTACTGAGTTTGCAACCACCGATTGGTCCAAGGATTACATTTTTCACTTAGAAGATTGATGTTCAGCAAGGCAGTGAGTGACTCTTACACTCTAAAAAGTCAATGGAAAAATATCCTCAGGTGAGAATTAACAGCCACGACAAAAAAGGCAGTGATTTGTTTCTGTTCGCATTAGCCAGAAATAGATCTTGATTATTTTTTTAATTTTTAAAAATATTTAACTTTGAAAGTATGACATATGTTTCCTTTTTTCTCCCGTTGGCCCTGTCTAGCCTGCCCCTACCTGCTGCCCCGGCTTCCAACACTCTGTTGTCTGTGTCTCTGGGTTATGCATATATATGCATACACATTCTTTGGTTGATCTACACCACCCCCCCCCCCCCCCGCCTCCAGAAATAGATCTTAATTTTCATTCTTTCGTTTATTTTTGGAGCTAGTGCTCTTCCCACTGTGTCATACTGTTTTGTTTCCAAAATGTTTGCAGGTATGAAATCCAAGTGTGCTCATCACTGGATCTTTGGATCTCTAAGGAATTAAGCATCACGTATTGTGGAAACTCTGTTAATCTCTAAAAAAGTGGAACATAGACTGTTTATATGTCCCCAACACACCAGGCATCATGCAGACATTTTAAATTTTTTTAAAATATATATTTATTGACTTAAGAGAGGAAGGAAGAGGTAGAGAGAGAGAGAGAGAAACATCAGTGATGAGAGAGAATCATTGATCGGCTGCCTCCTGCACATCCCCTATTGGGGATCAAGCCCACAACCCAGGCATGTGCCCTGACTGGGAATCGAACCGTGACCTCCTGCTTCATAGGGCGCCGCTCAGTCACTGAGCCACGCCGGCTGGGCCATGCAGACACTTTTGTTCACATGATTGTTTAATACTTAGGCACAATAAATCCATCCCATTTTACTGATTTAACAACTGAGATCCTAAAACTATCTGGCTCTTCAGAGTGAGCCACGCGATCCCTTTGGTTTCCGTTGTCGGGGAAATTTATCTCGATTTTCTGCAAGAGCGTCGGGCAGCTTTGAGTCATTTGCCACCTTTGCATTTCTTCCTACGTCAGGGGCCTCGCACTTTTTTTTCTTTCTGTATTTTGATTATTTAGAGTTGATCCCATCTAATACATGGTCCCTGACAAAGGGCAGACATTGTTCCATAAAGAAAGAGTCATTTTTGTCCTTCCTTCCTTCCTACTGATGAACCACCCTCCTCTCCTCCAGACCCTCTGGCAGACCTCACAGCCACAGGCCACACCCTCGTGCTAAGTGAGTCCCTGAGAGAACAGGAATCAAAGAAGTTTGGTTGTTTTAACCATTTTCAGAAAAATGGAGGCTCTGAATGCAAAATGATGGTCCTAAGTTCATCTGGGGCAAGGACTCATTGGTTCAGTCATTCACCGACAACCATCACCAGAAGCTTCCTATGCCCCAAAGTGTAAATTCACTGTGAGCAGGTCCTTGCATGATGGCCGCACCTCAGGGCCTAGTAGCTAAGAGCACCAGCTCCAGGTCCCCCAAGAGGATCAGGAAGGCTCCAGGAAGAACAATGGCCTTCATTCTGGAGATGGAGTCGGGAGGCAGAGGTGAAGAGCAGGGGAGATGGGAAAGACATCCATTCAGTTGAGGAGTGGGCCAGCCAGAGCCCCTCAGCCCTGTGCAGGGAGTCGGATGGTTGGACTCATGGGAAGAGCTCAGTGCCAGGCTGTGTGACAGCTGCCCATGGGGAGAAAGATCCTGCAAGCAGTGAGAACCAAAGGAAATATCCCCGGAATCATGCAGGGACAATGTAGTGAGGGCCAGAAGCAGGCTGCTGGCAGGGAGGATGGGACAGGTTAACCTTGGAAGGAATAGTCATGGGGGTGAGAACAGAGCTGGGGAAGCACTGGACATGGGGTGAGGACTTTGGGGGTGTCAACGGTGATCCTTACATTTTGAAGTGACAGTGATGTCCTTGACTGAAATGAGGACAGATGACAACGACCTCTGTTCGGTGAGAAGGTTATGAGTTTAATTTCAAATGTGTTGACTAAAAGATCAAGTCTTATGTTTCTGGTGCTCCACCTTGGAGCCCAGAAGAAAGCCATGGCTAAAATAAGTAATCCCATTGAGACTATCTGGAGAAAGGAGGGTATCGGAGCTCAGAGGCCCACCTTTCTCTTGGAATTAGCAGCACTGGCATTCCCTTATTTGGAGCCCCTTTCTGTCTTCCTTCCCTTTAAAAAGTAACTGAAGTTTAAAGGTGAAAATGACTTTACTAGAAACCACATTGGCGCTACTCCGGGCCTGCTATTAGCCACAGCTGGGTGGTGGCTGACATTCTTGGGGCTCTGATTCTGCGCCTCATGCTTGCAAGTCCTTGGGCTCATCTGGAGTTAACTTCGTCAGTTTATCCACACAGAGCAGGATGAGGGTGAGAAACCAGAGACTCCAGCCAACAGCGGCCGCGATCCAGCCGTACTCATCCACTCCAGTGTGGCAACACTGGGATGCTTTTAGGCAGAAGTCCACATCTGGGGGAAGAGAGAGCATCACACCAGCCCGCCCCATCTCTAACAGTCATAACAACAAGACAATAATAATAATACAATAGTTAACCTTCAGGAAAATATGCCACGTGCTGTGCTAAATGTTCTACACGTGTTACCTTATTTATTCCTCGTAAAGTGATAGGTGTGGTTGTTAGTCCCATTTTACATGAAGAATCTCAGGCTGTAACTTGCCCAAGGTCATGGGTTGGCAGAACTAGAACTCAAACCCAAGTCGGCAGGACTCCAAAGCTGTGTTCTTAACCTCTACACATTCTTGCCTATTATTCTTCTCTATAAGTGTCCAGAAGTGAACAAACACATTTGGTCATTCAATGAGGGCAGATTAAAGGAAGCCAGACTTAGAATATATTGCAAGACTTTGTTAATTAGACATCTGCAGTAGTGGTGGCTTTATGAAGTACTGCCCTCCTTGTGGCTGGAGGTATTCAAGGAGAGAAGAAGAGAAATATGCAAAGGGCATGAAAATGAAGTTCCTGCCTTGGGAGCTTCCAGCTGAGTTTTGTGGTCTTTCCACTGACAAACATCTACACGTCTCTGAACTCAGGGCATCTTTGGCTCCTATTGTGGGGATGGGTCATTAAAGCTATCTGTGCCAAAGGTTGTGAGCTTCGATGGGGGTCAAGGCCAAGATAGATTTTGGACGGACTCTGCAAACAGTTCTGGAGGCTGTGGACAAACCACACCAGCACCCAGCGAGGCCCGGCCGACACTCAGCCACCCCACGCCAATGAACAGAAGCCAGGAGGCTTATGTTTCCCTCCCAGACCCAGGGCCAGCTCTGGTTGGGGCAGTTGGCAGACGCTTACTGTGGCACTGTTCCAGAGTCTCAGGATCTGGGTGGTGGTTGGTCAAGGTTGAGTTGTTGCCACTGCTTGCTTCTGGGAAAAAAAGGCAGAAGACAGTCTGAGTAAATTAGTAGTGAGTACTGTGAAAGGATTATAGACGTTCCAGTCTAGATGTCATGCAGCAAAGCTAACTCCTTGTTATGGACTAAATTGTGGCTCCCCCACCCCCAAATTCAGATGTTGAAGTCCTAATCCCCCAGTAATGAATGCATCTGGAAATAAAACCTTTAAAGAGGCCGTTCTAACATGAAATGGGGCCATATGTGTGAGCCCTAATCCAGTATGACGGGGTCCTTATAAGAAGAGGAGAGACACCGGGATGTGCAAGCAGAGGAAAACCACGTGAGGACACAGGAGGGAGGCCTCAGGAGAAACCAACCCTGCAGACACCTTGCTCGTGGACTTCTTTGTTGTGTCAGCCCTAGCAAACAAATACTCCCCTTTTTTCCTATCGTGGTCTCTTCTCATTCAGAGATGCTTTATTTCCATCTCGCATGGTCCCTTACCCAGGGCCTGCCATCTACAGCTTCCCAAACACTCTAATTATCTAATTAGCTGCTTTCTATGCAAATAAATACATAGAAAATGGTTTTTCTAATATATGGTAACAAACTTATTTAAAAATCTGAAGCATCTTTCCATAACTACCTTTAATTCCCTCCAAAACTTTGAACAGCCTGGCCTGTGTGGTACAGTGGTTGAGCGTTGACCTATGAACCCAGAGTCATGGTTTGATTTGTGGTCAGGGCACATGCCCGAGTTGTGGGCTTGATATCTAGGCCGGGGCGGGGGGGGGGTGGGGGTGGGGTGGGGGTGGGCAGGCAATGCAGTAGGCAATCAATGATTATCGCACCACTGATGTTTCTATCTCTCCTTCTCCCTTCCTCTCTCTGAAATCAATCAAAATATATTAAAAACAAAACTCTTGAACAAATAGACATTGAAATCTGACCTTGATTTCTGACAAAGATACTGATATTACTCAGCAAGACATGGAAGTGGTTACCAGGGGGAAAAAAATTAAACACCATATAAGCAAATCTAGAGGTTGCTAGAATATGTAGCACTTCAAATTGTCCCTTGATTAAGAAGTAGAGAGCCCAATGATAAAAAGAATTTCAGCAGGAATTCTTACAGTTGTATCAGAGTTTGGGGGGTGAGCTGGGGTTATGGAGATGAACATAAGGGTCTCCAAGGAAGAAAACCCATTGCCCACACTCCCTCTCACAACAGCATAAGAGGAGAGAGGATCCATCCGTTCAGTCCCACACGGCCGCCACTGGTGACTATTTAAATGTTTAAACAATTAAAAGTTCAGCTTCTTGGTCAGATAAACTACATTTCAAGTGCTCAATCCCCAAATGTGGCTAGTGGCTACCATAATGGAAGTACAGCACAGATATGCAGACTTTCCATCAGCAAAAAAAAAAAGTTCTGTTAGTGCTAATCTAGGTAGAACAAGACCAAGAGGCCAGTTTTGGAGACTCTGTCTGGAAACTACATTGCTGTTCAGTCTGCTTCTTGGGAATGCAAAGACATAAACTGGTCTGGAAACGCTCAAGGCCCCGCCAGGTCAGCATGCCCTTCAAAGGTGCTCGGTGTCACATAGCAGGAGAGGTTAGGAGGAAACTTCTTGACCAGCCAAAGCCACAGAATTCCTGCTCAGACTAATTTTATGCCACCCACCCCCAAGCCGCTCCAGTGTCCTGCCCAAAGTGTAGTAATTACCTTGATGCAATCTGATTGTTACTGTAAATTATTTACAGCTAAATGGCTTACAGCTTGGTCTTTATTTGTTTTGGAGAAATTGATTCCTCAACATTTTAATGTCTGTTATAACCGAAATAAATTCCTTGGTCCTGACCTTCACCTCCCCTCTAGCCTAGAATGGAAGTGGTCCCCGTCTAGAACAAGTGAGTGGAAAAAACCTGGTACGTTGGATGCTAGTATTAGGTGAAACCATATGTAATTGCCATTTATGTAGGTGAGGAATTGTTCAGCAATTTTATATGGCTCACACTGGCTAGCCTAGTTAGAAGTTCCTAAGAATTTTTTCTATTTATTTTTTATTGAATGCATTGGGGTTACATTGGTTAATAAAATTATATAGGTTTCAGGCATACAATTCTATAATACATCATTTGTATATTGTACTGTGTGCTCCCCAAGCCAAGTCATGTCTCTTTCTGTCACCATTTATCCCCCCTTTATCCTCTCCTGCCTTCCCCTACCCCCTACGAATTTAAATATCACCCTCATAAGGAGAGCCAACCAGGGACTGGTCGCAGTTGGGGTCACTTCCAAAGTAAAGGCTGCTGGGAAGACCCAACTCTTCAGTGCAGTTAAATTTGTCAAGTTTTTTTGAGGCCCTATCCTAAACAAGGCACTGAGAGAATAAACAGAAAGACACAGAACACTTTTATTAGGGGAGGGGTTATACTGGACAATGAATGTGCTAACATTCATTAAGTGTTTACCATGAGTTAATTTGTTCAAAGGTATTTACCTACAGTCACCTCATTTCATCTGTACAACAAACTGATAGGTAAGCCCTAGGATTATCCCCATGTTATAATAAAGAAATTGGAGCACAGAAAGGGTAAGTAATTTGCTCAAGGTCACACAGCTGGTAGGTACAAAGCAGCGTTGAGGCTCACAGGCTTTGAGAGCCCACACTCTCTGGACCACCACAGGAGAGTCTGTGAGGACGAGAGAGGCAGACACAGGTTGAAGGGGAGGAAGGATGGGGGGGGTGGGGGTGGGAGTGGGGGAGGTGTGGGGGTGGGAATGGTGAGGGTTGGTTTTGAGACAGACTAATAGACAGAGACAGATTCAGGGGACAGGGCAGACTGTGTCCTGAGGAGTTGAGGAGCAAGATCAAAGCCAGAGGCAAAAGTCAGGAGCGTGGGAGTGTCAGGGCAGCCTCTGCATGAGGCTCAGAGCCCAGCCTGGGACACTCTGACGGGATGGCCTCAACCCCTCCAGCCTCCACAGGGCACTAACCCAACATCTCCTGTGTCCCGGGAAGACAGGAGAACAGTAGACTGAGTTTGGCAGCTTTCATGCATTCAGGTTTTGTGAAAATTGCAAAGAAAGCACAGGGTCAGCAGAGGGTCAGAGGGCCTTAGGGGAAGGGAGGGGCAGTGCAAAGGGAGCATTGCCAAGCTCAGCAGCCCCGGGCTCTGAGGAGCCACTGAGAAACTGCACCCAAAAGATGCCATTTTAGGCTCATTTGGTCCCCTGCTGGGAGAGGCTCTGTGCATTGCTTTTCCTCTGTTCTTTGTGGTAAAGGTCAACAGAGGTGGCGGCTCCTGACCTAGATGAGGACAGGCGTACATTTAAGACACCCCCACCCCACCTCTGCCCAATCCTTCAGATGAGAAAGGATTGTTTCCTCTTTGTGCAGGACCAGCCCTGGCCGAGGAATACTCCTCCTTCCTTCCCTCCACCCCCTCCCCTCCCCTTCCCAGCGTGGCCAAGAATAGAGCTCACAGTCCCACCTGCCAAGCAAGCCGATTGGAAGGAGGCGAAGACCAGGCTGAGGACCAGGGCAGCGGGGGGCGCAGGCTTCATGCTGGAGAGAGAGGCTTCTGCGGGGCCAGCGCCGTGGAGGTGTGCTGAGTGCCGGGGGCATGTGCCTGTGTGTGTCCTGTCCGGCAGGAGCTTGAAAACAAGGCCGTCAGAGGTGAATTTCTACTCTGTTTTTGGGAAAAGAAAGAGGGTGGAGCAAAGGAAGTTCAGCTGTCACACCTTTCTCTTACCTCTCTAGAAGGGAAGCCAGGCTCTGTTGGCTGGGGCAAGAAGGGAGGGGCGATTTATGCGGTCTGTGTCCTGCTGGGTCCCAGAGCATGAGTTTGCTGCCTCGTCCATGTGCAGGCGTAGTGCTGGATTCCCTATTCTGTTTCACCCAGTATTTACTGAGCTCTTACTGTGTGAACTGAACTAAAGTCTGGGAATAACAACCCCCATCATGCTTTAAGTATCCACACATCATTCAAACACAGAGCACTGCTTCGGGAATGACCCGGGAAGGACAAAGTACTTTGGACCTCAGCAGCATGAGGCCACATCTCGGGTGGGATGCTTCGTGCAGAAGATGGCATTTGAGTTGGCCTTGAAGGATGCATAGAATTTCGACAAGCAAAGAGGGCATTGTAGGCAGAGGGACAGGTGACCAAAGACCCAGAGGTAAGAGATGCTCAGAAGCCCACTCTGCCCACAGCACAGATGAGTGTAGGTGACCTGAGGAGGAGGAAGTGTGTGTGTGTGTGTGTGTGTGTGTGTGTGTGTGTGTGTGTGGAGGTGGGTGGGTGTGACTGGAGAGCTGTGAGGCTGAGCCCCTGGCGCGCCTGGCTGGGAGTTTGAAACAATCATGAGGCAGATGGGAGGCTCTGTGAAGATGTGAACTGAGGAGTAACTGGAGCTCTGGCTTCAGTCTAAAACATGCTTTGAAAAGCATCACCCTGGGCCTCTGAGACTCAAAGGTGGCTAAGACAGGATCCCTACTTTCACTGCAGTGAGACCAAGCGGCGAAGAAAGAGCTGAGATGTAATACGGTAAGACTCAAATATGGGTGCCTTCCCCAGGCAGGGGGCTAGGAAACAGCAAGGCCCTAAATGCCCGAGAGGCACAGGGAAGTGACATTTGGCCGGGTACCCTAGAGGAGGCGCTTTTTAAAAATTTGCCTAAAGCTGCAGATCAGCGGTAGCTCTATATTTTCGGCTTTGGGGGTTGGGGGCAGAAGTGCTGTAGGGAGGCTAATCTTCTGGCCGTGCACAGAAATCCAGTTTAGACCTACTGCTTGGTTGAACATTCAACAATTATCGAGTAGCTGCTGTGCGCTGGGCCCTAAGGATGGGGGAAGGAGGTTCCAAAGTGGGTAAGGCAACACAGTCTCTGTCCTCCAGGAGCTCAGGGCCCGGTCAGGGCCATGGACAAATAAACAAGGACACACATAATAAATGGTGAGGCAGTCTCTGCAGATGGGGATCCATGGAGGAGGGTTGGAGACCAGGAGACTAAGAGAATATTTCACAATGGAGATGAGGTTTTGAAATGGGAGAGATGTGTAGTTTGCCAGGCCAGGAAGGAGGGGACCATGTACCCGGCCGCTGAGGAATGCACATACGACCCTTGTTGGGAAGTAATGACTGTCCTGGGAGCATGGGGTTCGCTTCGCCATGGTGCGTCTGGTTAGACCGGGGACAGATTGTAATGGTCCTGCATGGTAGACAAAGGAAACTGGACTCTGCCTTACACCTGGGACACCCTATCAGGACCTTGTGGTCACCTTTGTATTTCAGAGGCACAGATAATAGATTCACAGAGGCCAGGCCTGGATTCAGAGAGATCTTCTAAGAAGCTATTGCAAAAATCCCAGCAGATCATAAAGGGCCCTGCCCTGGCCGGTGTTGCTCAGGGTTAGAGTGTCAGCCTGGGCACTGAAGGGTCTCGGGCTCGATTCCCAGTCAAGAACATGTACCTGGGTGGCAGGTTTCATCCCCAGCCCCAGTTGGGGCACATGGAGCAACTGATAGATGTGTCTCTCTCGCATCAATGTTTCTCTCTCTCTCCCTCCCTCACTTCCTCCCATTCTCTCTAAATGTCAATGGGAAAAATATCCTTGGGTGAGGATTAACAACAAAAAAAGGGCCCTGAAATAAAAGGCTGGGCTGAGGATAGAGGAGAGGGGAACAGAATCAAGAGGCACTTTGGAGGCTAAATCAACAGAAGGGAATCCAGGATAAGGCCGTCAGGATGAAAGCAAGGTTTCCATCTGGGGTGAAGCAGTGGCCGTGAGGCCCACCCGGGGTGGAATTCCAGCCCTGCCTCTGTCTGAGTGGCCCTGGGAAGTGGCATCATACATCCAGCCCTGGGTTCTTGATCTGAAAAGTGATAGTGTTACGGGAAAGGAGCAGGCCCAGAGCGGGTCTGCCTAAGGCCAGCTGGTAGTGTGTGGGTTCTTGACCTCGTGCAGGACAGGTTTCACAATAGGAGTGCCGGTGATTTTGAGAGCACGTTTGTTAAAACTGGGGCCAATGAAACAAGGAAGGGCTTAGGCTAGAAGCAGCAACAGGAGAGAGACTAGGTAGGGCTGCTTTGACTCTAAAAAGATGGGGAAGAAGCGAGCCAAGGTGGGGCTGCTGTCAGCTCACTGGAGAGTCAGGGAAAAGGGGCTTTGGGGACAAGTTCAGGGGGTTAGCCTGGGACAAGCTGCAGCTGCCCATTGCTCCCTGGTGACAAGTCTCATGCGGTCCATTAGAATTTAGGAGATGCATGCCTGTGGGGGAAGCAGAGGGGGAGGGAAAGGTGAGGGTGTGCTCCAGGGAGGGAAAAAGCACTGGGACCTTTGGTTTGAGGGTGTCTAAAAGCTGGGAGTTTAGGGGAGGGCTTAAGGGAGGATCTCAATAGAATCTTCATCAGCTCTTCCAGGTGTGTCCTTTCAGGGTCATGTTCTCTACTGATTGGGCAATGCCAGGTCAGGGGGTCATTAGTCATTGCAGATGGTCCTGGTGTCTCCTGTCTGGCTTTGCTGCTTTTCTGGGCCTGGAGCTGAAATACAACTGAGGCCTAGATGTTATCTCCAGGGAGGAAAGGTCAGGGGTTCTAAACTGCTTGACCAGTGATATGAGAGGTCAGGGAGTCTAAACTGCATGACCAACGATTTGCCAGGGGAGGAAGGTCCCGCACTAGTTTCGCCTGTTGCTAGGCATCCGGGACTTTCTGCCCTGGCTGTAAGTTGCTCGGCCGGTTTGCTCAGCTATCTATCTCAGTGTTCCCTTTCCACTTGCCAAGGAGTTTCCCTAGCTTCTTCCTATCCTGTCTCAATAGGAAGAGGCACCCATCTCAGAGTTGTTATCCGTGTCAAGTGCTTCCCGTGGTGCTAGCCGATGGTAAGTGCGCAGTCAATGTTCACGCCCACTTTAGTAGAAGGGTCATCACAAATAGAAAATATGCAAGACAGGCACTTCTAGGGGGGAAATAATGCTATTTATGTGTTGAGTTGTTTATATCCTGTCTTGGTCCAAAAAGGGTTTAAGGAAGCACACGTATCATTAATGAAGCTCGGTGAAATACATTTAAAATAAATGAGAGGAAATGAGGCACGGAGAAAGTTAGGAGCTATGAGGAGGATCCATGAGCACGTTTAGGGCACAAAATGGCAGGCTTGTTCTCTGAGCTTTCTGGTGGCCAGTGGGAAGAGGGTCACATGGTCACGTCTGTGATTCATGGGCTCACAAGACAAAAACAACAGGAGAAGCACAGTGCCCTTGATACCGGAATCAGAGGGGAAGTTCCCCCTGGGTCCCCACAGAGATGGCATTACTTGACAGGATGAACATGCTTCTTGACATTTTCCTCCCAGGAACCCTCGCAGGAAGCTTTGTAGACTGGGGTGATTTATCCAGTAGGCGCTGGAGATCACAGCAGTGTGTGGGGTCTCTGAGATTTTCAAGAGTCAAAAATGTTTGAGCCCTGAAAAAATGTTCTCAGATTCAAGATATGAACAAAACTGTGCAATCAAAGCTATGCAAGTCATTTAAACAGAAAGAGTTTCATGTAGGCTGTTGGGTGCCTTTGAATATGTTTGATGTGAGCAGAGAGTGTCCCTCCGAAATGATAAGAGCCTGGCACACACAAAGATTTAAAAAGGCCCGGCCGACGTGCCTCAATGGTTGAGTATCGACCTATGAACCAGGAGGTCACGGTTCAATTACAGGTCAGGGCACATGTCCAGGTTGTGGGCTCAATCTCCAGTGTGGGGCATGCAGCAGGCAGCCGATCAATTATTCTCTCATCATTGATGTTTCTATCTCTCTCTCCCTTTCCCTTCCTCTCTCAAATAAATAAAAACATATTAAAAAAAAAAGATTTAAAATGGTCCTGCCCAGGGTTGTTATGATGATGGTTTGAATAGTGTTCACCTATCAAAGTTGACAGCATCATGTTAAATTATACCAGTGGGAAAAATTCTGGATATGGTGCATGTAGAGGGCAAAGATAATAGTCTGTCTTTTCTCTCCTTTCTTTCTCTCTCACTCTCCCTTCCTCTCCCTCTAAAATCAATAAAAACATACCCTTGAGTGAGGATTTTTAAAAAGCTAAGCATTTTCTTTACAGATCAAAGGATTTTATTATTCTACAACAGGATGGACTTGCCTGGTCTCTGGTAACTCATGAATTCCCAAAGCAAGGGCTGCATGGTAACTATTTTACAAGTGTCACCATTATTCACTACTAGAGGCCCGGTACAAGAATTTGTGCACCAGTGGGGTCCCTTAGCCTGGCTTGCGTGATTGGGCTGAAACCAGCTCTCCAACATCCCCCAAGGGATCCTGGATTGCAAGAGGGCACAGGCCAGGCCAAAGGACCCCACCAGTGCACGACTGGGGCCGGGGAGGGACACAGGAGGTTGGCCAGCTGGGGAGGGACCATGGGAGGGCTCCAGGGCATGTCCGGCCCATCTCCTCAGTCCTGATTGGCTGGACCCCAGCAGCAAGCTAACCTACTGGTTAGAGCTTCTGCCCCCTGGTGGTCAGTGCACGTCATAGCGAGTGGTTGAGCAGCCTTTGTATATCATTAGCATATTATACTTTGATTGGTTGA